TTTTGTTATTACATATTGTGTAGTGTGAACAGGCATGTTTTATCGATATGACGATATGCAAATATTTTGTCGTCGTGCAATCTATTCATATTACAATTAAAATTCATTAATNCTTGAAAGATTCTGTCAGACAAATACGATTCCAGGATTCCGTAGAATGTGTGTGGCAATATTGATTTGATCTTACACAATAGGCCTTTGTGCCAGACTCGATCGAAGGCTTGTTGGATATCAAGAAAAACAGATGAGCAGTATTCTTTTNTTTCAGGATTATTCTAAGTACTATTAATTGTTAAGTCGTGTACTCGTAATACCTGTACCTGAAAGTGGTTCCTGTATTAACTAATCTAGCCTGGGTAGATTATTGTGTGAACCACTATTAACACAAACGCTTAAACTTTTATAGCAAATAATATATTACGATATTTTAAAAAATATCAGTCCTTTCGGAATTAAGATCACGCAATCTCCTGCTGAAACTTTCCATATCAACCACGTTTTTCCCCTTCATGCAAAATACACGGAAGGAAAACATCACGGAGCACAAAGCAATATTTCGATATACCATTAGGTATTTGAATGGGTAGGATTTTATTATAATTAATGCTGTAATATTTAAAACACCTTGCCCTGTATTGATTGGAGTTGGAGGAAAAGAGCGCTGAAAACTGATTAGCTAACGCTTGGGTTAAGTATAATATAATATTGGCGGTGAAATTTTTTTAATGACTACGAATGTCTAAAACACTAATAGAACAGGTATGTTTCTTTAACAATTGTTTAAAAATTGCAATAAATTAGTTTACCTACTCGAAACCTGAGAAAAAGATGTCGTTCAACATCGTCAAGGCGGTTATTTGGTGATCGATCGAGATGGCGCTCTTTCCCTATGCATCCCTGGATTCCTATAAGTGTTTAAAAATAAGACTTGATTAAGTTACTTGCTGTGCGGCATTTTACCCGTAATCCCTTATTAGTCCAACGGCTTAGCAAGCTGAAATGGCAGGGCACATAGTCCCTATACAGAACTGACGGCCGATGGGGCAGTAAGGATCTGGAGAGGAGGCCATGTACCGGGAAACGCAGCGTGAGACGTCCACCTATATGGTGGACCGACCTATATGGTGGACCGACGACATCATAAAGGTAGCAAGAAGGCGCTAGATGCAGGCTGCTGTCAAAATATAAATCATTGAGGGAGGCCTATGTTCAGCAGTGGAACGTCCTGTGGCTTAAATAATGAAGATGATGACATAAGCCTATCTAAAAGTTGTCTACAACAATATAACAGCGTTTTTATCACGCATCATTTTGTACACTTGTGATAGTTAGTTAATTGTGCCCTTGATTCATTCTGTTTCGCGCCTATCTCAACATACTAAATAGGAATGAAATAACTACTAATAACTACTAGTATACATTGAAGTATGTTTACTAATGAAATTACTTAATGAATAAGATCGATTCTCATTTTTGGCGAATGACGGAGCACAGAAGTCGTTTAGTAGGTAAGCCTTGTCCTTCTTGCTTGATTAGCTTCACATAATCTACTTATTCTATCTCTACAGGGTAGGTATCCAATTTAATACGACAAAAATCCTGTTAGGTACCCAAGTAATGTCCTAAAGAAACTACCAAAGCAAATTCTTGACCATTCAAGTGGGCATTATAATCAGGGAATAAATTTCTTATTGACTGTGTTGCCCGATTTATCAGTACTTACTTACATAAGGTGAACTTAATGCAATAAAGCAATGTCTGCTATTGTAGAAAATAAAAATAACCTGTAACAACTCAATAACATGCCCAAGCCCATACCTACATACCTACCTGCCCTACCGTATAAAGCATTCATAAAGCTATACCACGGGCTATACGTTTTCCAGATTTAAATAAAAAAAAAAATAGGTGGGTATTTGTGGAACACCTCCAGTACAAGCGCACAAGCTTTTTAACGAACCACATTCAAAAAATATATCAAGTTGGATTATAGGTACATACTTTGGAATTAAACTCAGTAGGCGCCAGTAAGTTTTAAAATCGATTTGACTCAAAGGTTAACTTAGAGATGAATTAATTTCGCGTTTTGTATTTTTTAAGCGCCTTAATTATTTTTTAAAGTAAAATACTAGTGTATGGCTGAAACGGAACGGAAATAACCATTTGTCATTTTTGACAGTCACAGGCGACACTGACATTGACAACAAATCGAAGAGGTTATTTTATACAGAAAAGTGCACGCTTTGTTGTTTTTACAATTTAAATGGTTTTTGTACGAAGAAATACGATCAAGTGATTCAAGGAATAACAACCTTTCCCTACCATTCAAATAATTGTAACAAAAATGGGATCTTCCGAGTTTGACGCCACTTTAGGTGGCGATGAACATCTGCCCTTTTCTGTGAATAGTTTGAAATTTGCAGCTTCCCGAAGCATAGAAATTGCTGCCATGACTGAAAGTATCCTTCGCCCCAGCAAGACGAAGCTAATTTTCCAATCCTTGCCTGTTCACATGCGTCGTCGAGTCATGAGCCACAACGCGAAGAGATTGCCGAGAAGGCACAGAGAGGGCCATTTAGAACAACTGACTAAAAGTGGCTTACCTCCAAAGCAAAAACGGCCATCCCGAAAATACAGGAGACGACCTGGCAACTTATTAGAGGAATACACTAGGCGACAAAGAAAAAATGTTTGGTTGGAAACACACATCTGGCATGCAAAGAGGTTTCACATGATAAAGCGCTGGAGCTATAGCATTGCATATGCTCCATGTGATAAAGCTTTTAGAGCTTGTTACAGAGCAAGCTCTGCCCATTGTCTTTTACAGGATATCTCTTATTACACACCAATCCAAATAACTGGACCTGTAGAAATTTTAAAAGAAATGTTTAGCAATATAACAAATAGCTCATGTGGGCTTGGTGTATGTGCCAAAGCTTTTGTAGATGGTAAAAGAGAGGGTTCCATCCACTTATATGAAGCCAAGTCATATCCTTTTGGGTATATTGGTAAAGTTACCTTCATTTGGCACAATACTGAATCAAACAAATGTTTATGGTTATTTGTTCACCCTGCCCAAATCAAACAAGTGGAATCATTATTAACAGATTTGCTGTGCAATACCCAAAATAGCATGAATGAAGTTCCTGAGAAAAAAAGGAAACTCGCAAATAATTATTCAGAAAATATAAAAATGAAATTATTCCCTGGAACTTACAACAGGTTCCGATTAACTGGTCCTAAAAGTCATGCTGTACTTACTCACAGTCTAAAATGTATCCAAAATCTAGAAACCATCAAACAGAATAAATGGGTATCTAATACAAGTGATTCTGAATTCTCAAATCTTAAAGAAAAAGAACAATATTGGCAGAATATTAGTTCTGTGGCTTCTCCTTCAGAATTGCCTCAAAGAATGATCATCGGGTTAGTGGCAAAAGATCCTCGTCTCAGTAGGCCTAAAATTCGCACAAAAGCAGTGAACAATATGAAAGAAAGAAATCTTCAATGTCTCCTAAACATACCACCGAGTATATCAACATCACATCTATGGAATACAAACATACATGATGTAATAAAAAAAGAAAAATTAAGTTGCGCCAAATTCATAGAACATGTGACAAAAACACGATTAGTTCCTGGAGAAATTAATGAGAATGATCCAGTTTTACAAAGTGTACCAGTTGTTTTGATACAGAGGCCAGGATCACAAAATCTGGATTCCAAAAAGATTGGTAAGGAACTATGACAAGACTAATAGTACATACATTCTTGATATGTTGAGTACCTACTTTCTACTAAATAAATTATATTTTCAGGATATGGAAGTGGCTGGGATATCATAATTCCACCTGGTTATGGTCTGCCGTTCTGGCAAACATTCATTATGTTTGGAGCACGGTCTGGAGGACTTCGTGAATCTGAGCATTTATCATTTGAAATGGGAGAGTGCTATTTTCCTCCCGATTCTGAATCTGGCAAAGAAGAGGAAGAGAGAATATCAACAGAGTTAAAAGAAAAGTATTTCAGACTACCACCCAGTAAAAGGGTCAATTATATTAAACTTGCTATTGTTTCTCCATTTATTTGTCCATGGAAAATTCTTTTAACGGACTGGAGCGAGGTTTCTGTTGATTCCTTTTATGTATTGCGTGATAAACAGCTTCTATCCAACCTACAGGTACATAAAACAAAAATTATAATACTTTGACAACTCATTTTGTCACACTCATACAATTAAAGTACATACTTATTACACTTCCTTCACTACTAATATCCAATTTCCTATTTACAGGACTGCATCCAGCAAAGGAAAGAATTACCCGCAATCGAAAATCCATCATCATGTTTAGTGCCAATTTATCTGAAAATGGTCAATAAAGGAAACCTAAAACGAAATGCACTGATCTGTTTGCCAGAAAAACTTGATGTTTCCAACGTTAATTCACTATTTGAACCGCACCATGAGGATTCAAATGAAGTGTTGCGTAAAAAGAAGCGAAAGGAACACAAGGCTAATATTAGAAGACTGAAGAAAAAAGCTTCAATACTAAAGAAAGGAAAATGTGGCCAGGTATGAGATACATCTGTTTCAAAACAAACTTATTTAGACTCATGTAGCCCAAAAATAGTACCCATATTGTGAATGTAAAAATATTTTGATATAATTTTATTTTATTTCCAGGTGAACACTACAAGGCCTAAAAACAAAGCTAAGTCAGAACCATCTGAATATGTCAAAAGCATCAGGGAGCTCTGGGTACCATCAGATGTAAAATCAGTCCGCCACTCGTGTGCGCGTCAAATCATGGGATACCTGACACACGGCGCATTCAGCTTTTCTGAATCCCAAAGTTGTGGCGTAGGTTACATAGCATTCAATGCTTTAAATGCGCTTCTCAAAACCAAACAAAATCAGGTATTAGTTCGAAACACTTCATCAAGAAAGTATAGGTTGGCCAATATAAATATTATAAAGGTTCCATGAATAAAACATTAAATTCTACAAAATAATGCGTTTATTATTCATTTTGCACATGAATATTACATTTCTAATTGTCAATCCACCATAAAACCTACAACCTAGGTTCTATTCCGTACATTGTGATGAACAAACAATACCAAAAATATTTTCCAGTCTATGTAAATTGGTGTTAGTATATGTATTACTGTAAGTCAATCTATCGTATACAAAATTATAGATGTAAAAATAACCATGATAGGCACAATTCATTCATATTATAAGCGATGCTTATTAAATATTGGATCCAGATCAAATTTTTAACATGTCCATGTATTTACAACTTAAATGCTTATTTGTACGACCTCGATTCTACGTGACAAGAAGCCTTCCCGACTGAGTAAACTAGCAGCCGTGAGTTTAATTGAATATGGAAGACCTATTGGGTCTTGTAGCCATAAGACTATGTAAATAGTCATCAGTTTATTTTGGATTACACACAAATTACTTTCTGAAGCGAAATGTTATATCTTTGATCGCTTTCTCGCTATTGCGTCTTCTACAGCTTTGAGTTGTTTGAGCAGTTCTTCTCTTCTCGACACCGATTTCTTACCCGGCGCTGAGTTTATTGGCGAAGTGGCTCCTCGTTTCTTGCCAGAAATATCTGAAATAAAAACAATATTCGTAAACGAAAAAATATGATAAAGTTACTTAATTTATTTGTTTGTACGAGTTTAGATGATAATTAACGTGATTATATTGATAGTTCCCAACATGTTCTTACCTTTATCATCAACTGCTTCTTTTTTACTTGTGACTGTCGAGACTGCAGCAGCTAACCCAGCAGCACTTGCTTTCGCATTTAATCTGTAAAACAATTGACTGCTAAATCTTCAACTTGAATGGCTTCACTCTTCACGTGGCATTTGCGCACATAACGAATTCTTTCGGGTGTAATATCCGGATTTCAATAGTTTAATTTTGAAAACAATCAATTAGAAACTAATTTTATTAATTTAGTTACGTTTTAGTTTCAAAGTGTGTCCGAGTTAACAAATTGTGCATTTGAATATATTAACGAATTGAATGAAGAGGTTAGATTATACACTGGTCATCACAAAAATCGGCCCACCTACGTAGGAAAACTCGTTTCTACTGACACAATCATGGTGCCCCAACAATATTGGTGTTATTTGAAAGCCCAATAAATATCCTTAAAGAAAAACACATTTAATTTCCTAATAAACGATTAACATATACAATAAATGTGACTTGAAAAACTTGAAAAAAGACCTCACTTTGGGCTCACCTCTGGGATCAATTAGACCAATTTTTATGGTTATAAAACCAAATAATGATCTCACGTGTCCTCTTTAACAGATGAATAGCGATTAATCTCAACAGTTTTATAGCCATAAAAGTTGGCTCAAGCGTAACTACCTATTTTTTGAAGAAGTGACTCTGGATTCTTCTACAGACACATTTTTGGGGTAAAAACCTTTCCTTTAATGAAATAAAGTTTAGAACTAGGCTTTTAAATGGTAATATAGTATAGTGTTATTGGTGGGAAGTGGGGATGCATATACGTTTGAAAGTGCTTGTCGCGGGAGGGTCGATTTTTATGATGACCAGTGTATTTAAAACTAGATTGTATTTGTAAGAACTTACCTAGGTCTAGCGGCAGCATTCAGAAGCCTCGCGTGACGCGCTCGCCTTGCTCCCGAACTGCCAGACGATGACGACGAGTGCGACTCGCTCTCGGACTCGCTCGACGATGACGATGATTCTGTAAAATGAAGTTTATTAACTATAGTTCTTGCAACTTACGAAGGCGAGTGTACTTTACTTGTGTGTGTACGTGCACATGCATTATAACGATAGTGTAATGTTTATCAAAACTTTTGAAAAACGAACAGTAGCGAGCCACCACACATGAAAGCTCACTTGCCTTCGTGAATTGCAACAACTATAATATTATAGCAGCCCTAAAAAGTTAGTTGGATTAGCTATATCGAAAGTTGAGACTAAGACTAGGCGCAGACCACCGATTTTTAGTTGGCCGATAGTAGGGCCCGATTTTAATTTGTATGAAGAATCGGCCAAGTCAAATCGGTGTAATGTGCGCACTTCCATATATGCCCATACTGATCAAATGCCCGACTAAACTATCGGCCGGCGAAAAATCGATGGTCTGCGCCTTGGCTCATGCCCTGGATGACTTGATATTATCGTCAATTAGATTTATAGTTAAAAGCAAACAATTACCTGAACCTGATGATGATGACCTTGAGTATTTCTTCCTATCTCTATTTCGGCTGGATGCTTTGCTACGTCCGTATGGATCCACTTCATCCTGTGCAAAAAAGAAGATTGTAAATACGATTGTACTTACACTCATAGCAGACCTTTGCTTATTTTGCAAATAGATGGAGCCAAGCCATGGATGTTTTTGGTAACAAATCAAGTCATTTTGATCGGGTGAATCGCGACAAGACCTTGACTGAACTTGAACTTTTACAGAAGAAAGAAGTGCAAAAATAACAGGAGGCCGAATCCGTCTTCTAAATTCCCAGGTGTAAGATAATGTTTGCACATCATAACTTGTATGAAGTGGTGTTTTTTCCGTCTCATGGTGTATCCTGCAAAGTCTCGTTATTTTGTTTAGTGTGGGTACTTGGAACAATTGTGGAGTTTATTTCTAATATTTTGTAAATGTCATATTTTAGGTCTACCTTTTTTTATATTTTATTTTGTATTTATGTAAATAAATTGATATTTTATTTTAACTGCAGCGCCCTCTGTTGCGCGCCTTTTTGCCAGGAAGTCTTACGAATCGACACGAATTTTATAATATTTTATATTGATAAACCGTCACTGTCAAAAGTGCGCTTAATTGGCGTAATAACCCCCATGTTGGTACCCGCTGAAAACCAGCTTCGTGACTTGACGACTTGTGTGTGTCATGTCACGATTTTCGCTGAGCCTGACCTCTGTACATGTATGCACATAAATGTTAATGCTGAATAAAGGTACCTATTCTATTCTATTCTATTCATTTACCTTATGCCTATGTGAGGCAGGTGGCGGTGGGTTAGCAGACAGCTGCCTCGCAGCAGCGGGCGAGGGCGCGCGACGTCGTGGCGCGGGCGGATTCATAGCAGTCGCGCGCGCAGACGCCATGCGCCGCTCGCGCACTATCACCGATGGCGACAGTCTGTATACCGAGAGGAATATTGTTTCATTGTGGACTCTATTTTTGATAGAAGACAGAAACGTAGCGCGCGCAGACGCCATGCGCCGCTCGCGCACTATCACCGATGGCGACAGTCTGTATAGGTGAGATAGGTTTTATTGTGGACTCTATTTGATAGAATATAGAGTCTAGCAAACGCTAAACTATATTTGATAGAAGACAGAAACGTCGCGCGCGCAGACGCCATGCGCCGCTCGCGCACTATCACCGATGGCGACAGTCTGTATAGCGAGGAGTTAGGTTTTATTGTGGACTCTATTTGATAGAAGATAGAGTCTGCGCAAACGCTAAACTATATTTGATAGAAGACAGAAACGTAGTGCGCGCAGACGCCATGCGCCGCTCGCGCACTATCACCGATGGCGACAGTCTGTATACCGAGAGGAATATTGTTTCATTGTGGACTCTATTTTTGATAGAAGACAGAAACGTAGCGCGCGCAGACGCCATGCGCCGCTCGCGCACTATCACCGATGGCGACAGTCTGTATAGGTGAGATAGGTTTTATTGTGGACTCTATTTGATAGAATATAGAGTCTAGCAAACGCTAAACTATATTTGATAGAAGACAGAAACGTCGCGCGCGCAGACGCCATGCGCCGCTCGCGCACTATCACCGATGGCGACAGTCTGTATAGCGAGGAGTTAGGTTTTATTGTGGACTCTATTTGATAGAAGATAGAGTCTGCGCAAACGCTAAACTATATTTGATAGAAGACAGAAACGTAGTGCGCGCAGACGCCATGCGCCGCTCGCGCACTATCACCGATGGCGACAGTCTGTATACCGAGAGGAATATTGTTTCATTGTGGACTCTATTTTTGATAGAAGACAGAAACGTAGCGCGCGCAGACGCCATGCGCCGCTCGCGCACTATCACCGATGGCGACAGTCTGTATAGGTGAGATAGGTTTTATTGTGGACTCTATTTGATAGAATATAGAGTCTAGCAAACGCTAAACTATATTTGATAGAAGACAGAAACGTCGCGCGCGCAGACGCCATGCGCCGCTCGCGCACTATCACCGATGGCGACAGTCTGTATAGCGAGGAGTTAGGTTTTATTGTGGACTCTATTTGATAGAAGATAGAGTCTGCGCAAACGCTAAACTATATTTGATAGAAGACAGAAACGTAGTGCGCTTTGATAGAAGACAGAAACGTAGCGCGCTCAGACGCCATGCGCCGCTCGCGCACTATCACCGATGGCGACAGTCTGTATACCGAGAGGAATATTGTTTGATTGTGGACTCTATTTGATAGAAGATAGAGTCTAGCAAACGCTAAACTATATTTGATAGAAGACAGAAACGTAGCGCGCGCAGACGCCATGCGCCGCTCGCGCACTATCACCGATGGCGACAGTCTGTATACCGAGAGGAATATTGTTTGATTGTGGACTCTATTTGATAGAAGATAGAGTCTAGCAAACGCTAAACTATATTTGATAGAAGACAGAAACGTAGCGCGCGCAGACGCCATGCGCCGCTCGCGCACTATCACCGATGGCGACAGTCTGTATAGCGAGGAGTTAGGTTTTATTGTGGACTCTATTTGATAGAAGATAGAGTCTGCGCAAACGCTGAACTCTATTTGATAGAAGACACGAGTAGCGCGCGCGGACTACCACCGATGGCGACAGTCTGTATACCGAGGGGAATAATTGTTTCATTCTCGACTCTATTTAATAGAAGATAGATTTGGTAGCGCGCGCTGACACAATGCGTGTCTCGCAGACTATCACCGATGGCGACAGTCTGTATACCGAAGGGAATTATTGTTTTATTGTGGACTCTATTTGATAGAATATAAAGTCGGTAGCGCGCGTAAACACCATGCGTGTCTCGCGAACTATCACCGATGGCGACAATCTGTATACCGAGGGGAATTTTGGGCGTGACGTGCGTATGCGCAGTTAGGCAGTGCGTATCTGGCATAGTGATTGATGAAAGTCAAGGGGTTGTCAACTAATTAATGGCCTAACTGAAAAAACGAATAGTTCTATTCTAACGTTTAAAATTTATCACATGTAAATCAATCAAAATCATAGTCATATTCAATATGAAATTGAGAAATGCCAAATATTGGTCTAAATTGAAAAAAAAAAATATTTTCAATAAAGTTTTTCATAAAAAATCAATCAGTAAGAGGGTTAGGTCATATTGGTAAATTAAAATCAAATTACTGGCCAAAACAGGACCAATGAAATCACTAAAAAAAATATATTCATACACAAATAATTTGGAAAAATAGTTACACCCAAAACCTCAAACTGCAATCTGGCTATCTAACAAACAAAATTGTACGCAGAAAAACAAAAACCCACCTCTGTCTCGACGAAGAGGATGCCCTTCGCTTGCGTCTGGCTCCGGGAGACCTCGAACTTCGGGAGCTGGAATTTGAAGAGCTGTAGGGTCAACGGGACGGGGGCACACGCACTCCATGCAACGGACGCAAACGTATGACACGACCATACACGGGATTATCACCAATGATGTATGTACAAATAACGCCCATTTTACGTCGTACGCGGTCCGCGATCACTCACGCACACACACAACAGGCATAAAGCGAACCCCAGTGAATAACATGCATGTTAATGACAGATCAGATGAGATCAGAGTCCGAACACCGAAACACGTTAGTTATGAAAGCGAAACCCAACGGCGGGGACGGGAAGGAGACGGGGAGAAAACTCAAAATTAATAAATATAGAATCAATAAAATAATAATTTTGACAGGATAAAATCGATAAATATTTTCTCAGTCTATTATTACTAACGAAATGTATTTTGTATTTATGCAAAATATACTAAATAACATATAAATGGGAATGTTGCGGCTTTCAAAATATGTACTTAAATAATCAAGTGGCAAACTAAAAAAATAAACAGGCTATGCAATAAATAATTTTCAATGTTCATTCACGGCTTAACCAATAATAACTGAGCAATCATTATCCATTTTCAAAAACTTTTTATTTTAGTGCAATTATGTGGTCAATATTTTTCTACAGTGAAAAATTTGATCAAAATCCAGCAAATCGAGCGTAAAGCTTGTAAAATCATGAGAACTATTGAGACACCAATCGTGAAAAAATGAAAAGTGAACAAATTGCTCGATCTACTGGGTAATCTTTTCATCTGACACATGGCGATTTAGATTAGGTTTTACACAGATAGAATTTTCATCGCAACAGTCGATCCATAAAATCAGCGAGTGCATTCTTTCAAAGCGCATACTATCGTCTGATTTTTACATTTCACCCAAATTAAATATGATTCAAATATGATTAAATCTATTTTTCTCCAACTAAGTCACATCATGTGCCCAATCCGACAGCAAAATGTGACGTCACGTCCCAGAAATAAAAAACAAAATCTATCCGTGCAACCTAACCTCAACCGCCGATCCGATGCTCCTCACATTCCCAAACGTACCTTGTAGACGAGTACGAGTCATCAGAGGAGGGCGGGCGACGTCGTCGCGCGGCGGGCTCCTGCCGCATCCACGGGTCGGCCCACTCGTCGCCGCGGCCCTCCCGCCCGCGCCCGTCGCGCCCCTCTCTCCCCTCGCGAGTGTCTCGCGGCTCGCGACCTTCCCGTCGCTCTACTTCGGCCCGTTGGACTATCACTTCGCGGGAGGAGCGCAGACGTCTCTGTTATGATAAATATGAAATAATATGTATAGCATGATTTATTTAAACAACCAATCACATTATTAGTGAAATATGTTTTCAATAATATTGAAATCAAAGACGTGACGTCATAACTAGTTTCTAAAAAGAACATAAGTTTTTTTTTTTATGCATAACAAGGCAGGTATTTGACCACAATTGCACCTGATGTTAAGTGGGATTCAGTCTAATCCTAAATTCTTTAGAAATTTCCATCGATGTAAACAAACACTTGTGCACACAATTACACTATAATACTCACGTTTTCTTAATATCATACACATTATTTCACAAGCTCATGAAACCAACTTTATTCTCATGATGAAACAAATGTGAAATCTAACATTGAAAACAAAATATTTTAACAAAATATTTGGATTGTGAAAATTTGTGCTACATGTTAAATGTCAAATCGACATTTGGCGTTTAAATTTAGGTCCTATCTCTGGAAAATCTGTAAGTCATAGACAATATTCATAGATAATAATCTGTAAATTTAATCGATTTTATTTCAAGTATTCAATTATTTCAATTACCAATTACTTTGATAATATTAATTTAAAATAAAATATAAACGAGGTTATATTCAACAACGTATTTTTTCTTCATTAAATGCAACAACACACTTTGCGAAGAAGTCTTTGAATTCAGCTTTATTATACAGACGAGTGTCACATAAAAAAGGCCTTTCGACCACTTTTCGACTGGTTTACGATTTTATTGTGCACTTTGTCTAGACCCACTATCCTATTTTGACGATCACATTACTGATCTCAACATCAATCAGAAGAGGGATTGATGTTCATAATTAAGTATACAAACTATCTTTGAAAATCTAATAATCGTCTGTTGCAGTCCGTAAATGACATTTACAGAATTGCGATTAACGAGAGATTTTGTCACATCACTAGTAGATCAACTGACATAGACTAAAAATTCGTCAATGTCAGTTGGCCATATTTGTTTACATTTAGGGAAATTTCTAAAGAACTAAGGTATAGAATGGTACATATCTGCCCTGTAAATGTAAGTCAATTTTTCATTTTAATTTGAGTGAATGAGGGTTTTCGCGTTTGAAAGATCGACGTGGATGCGGGGTCTTACTGCTGCGTGATTGGTGGATTTTGACATATCTGTCAATGTCATGTCAAAAATAACCAATCATGCAGCATTTGGACCTCGCGTCTACGTATTGCCATCTGGCGGATTTTTCAAACGCGAAAACCCTCATTGCGTCAGTATTCAAGAGTGGAGAACGCAAGAAAGAAGGATAAGTCACCTGCATAGTTACAACGATTGGAAATCAACAGTTCGGCTTGCCTTACAATGGTTGAGATTTTTTACTAGGACTTTGTATCAGTTGGTAACAAAGTAGTATATTTACCTTGTGATATGCATTGGGGTCCTGCATTTGCGCTCGCTCGTCGTAGTGCGGCGGGCGCTCGTACGCGCGCTCGCGCTCGTAGCCTCGCTCGTGCTCGTAGTAACGCTCGCGCTCGTCCGCCGGCCGCGGGTACCGGCCGCGGTACATGGGCGGCGCGCCGTATGCCCTACTGGATAAGGTATATTTTAAAAATCATCATTCGTAAGTAGATGATTGTCCGGTAGATGCAGTTTAAGTTTGTTGCTTAGAAAATATTATATTAGAATTTTTACATCTTTCACTACGAGGGATAATTATTAATTGAAAGGCTTTGTTATATGTAAAATGTAAAATTATATTGCTTCAAATAAAATAAATTACATTTCGTTTTGGTAGAAAATTCAAGACAAAAGAGAAAAGTGACAATCGATGAAAAAACGCAAAAAAGTAAAAAGTATTTTCTAACCGGCCAGGCGCGCGACCAATGAGTTTGGTATGCAACCTCAAAATTGTATTCATTACTTATAGGTCATCAAAACGGACCTGAACATTTCCGCCCGCTAAAGGACATAACTCCAGGATGTCCTTTACCTACTTAGTTAAACAAAACAAGAACCAAACAAAAATCAAATCCATACTATACAGTTCGAAGTTAAAGTAAACTATGTACACGATAAGCTTAACAAAAAAATCAAACTTCCTTGCCTTCAGCGGGCATAATAGTAATAAATACTACTAAATAGTTTATGTAGCTCATACTCTTACCTAAAACATTCTCATTGTGATTAAAAAAATAATAATAATAAGTTTACTTAAACTATACAAACAAAGAGAATTGCTACCACAAAATATCAATCGAATCATAAGAATTAAAGTAATTTTAACATACACATCATATTTACATTTCAACTTAAAATTACAATAATTAATTATTCCGCTAATGGAAGCACACAAATTTTGGACACAGGTCTTTTGATCAAAGAATTTTGTGTGCGAACAGTAACCACCCGGGTGATCTGATCAGGGCCAGGATGTTTCTGCTCGACTCTACCCAACAACCACCTGCCAGGAGGCATGCCATCTACTTTGATCAAAATCACGTCCCCAGTTTATTTAGTTACCTTCGGCATCTTCTACCCTAGTATACACTACAGCTGCATAAGCTGTTTTTGACACATTCTAAAAACCATTGAATTGGATTTGTTTATAAGAAGTTTTTGTGTGTAACCAGCGCGGGATTATCACATTCTTCAATGCACTCAAACCATCACGGTAAGTACACCATTTGCTTAATAATTCGCTTGGCAGCTCTTCATCCCAGTCGATACCAGCCAACCATAGTTGTTGAATCATAGTTTTTGCTATAATGATGCTTGGAGCCAGCCAGCCTAGCGGATCAAATAGTCTACTTATATCAGATAAAACTCTTCTTTTTGTTACAGGTTCTATTAGAGCAGCAAGATCAACCGAGTACTGAAAGGAATCACTACGTGGATCCTAGGTAAGTCCCAAGATTTTTGTTATATTTGCGTCCATTTCTATCTTGATACCTTCATCTTTATCTCTCACATCTTCCTTTATTTTATGTAGTAATTCCATACTATTACTTATCCATTTTTGTAACTGAAAGCCACCCTACGCTAATGTAGCTTTTATTTCGCTGTAAATTGAATAACCGTCATCTACATTTTCAGTTCCTGTCATGAGGTCATCCATATAGAAATCATTCAGAATGATTTCCTTTATCCTTGGAGATTCCTGAGCTTCATCGTATGCTACTTGCTGCAACGCGCGAACTGCCAAAAATGGCGCGCAAGCGGTTCCAAATGTAACCGTTAGGAGTTCGTGCTCTTCGATTTCCTTTTCAGGATTATCTCTCCACAGTATACGTTGAAAAGACGTATCTTCTCTGTCTACAAGCACCTGTCGATACATCTTTACAATATCAGCTACTATGCAGATGAGATGTTTTCTCCAACGCATAACGATGTGTCGAAGATCCGCTTGCAGGGCCCTACCATCAAGTTATCATTCAAAGATATTCCGTTACTACCTTTGCAGGATGCATCGAATACGACACGAACCTTTGTCGTTGCTCTGTCTTCACGGATTACAGCATGATGGGGTAAGTATAAACTTCTTTTATTTACTTCCTGCTTCGTTACCTTTACCGTGTGGTTCAATTCTGCATATTCATGTATCACTTGACTATAATCGATTTTCAATTTTATGTTCTTTAACAGTTTAGCTTCCAATACTTAAATCTCTTTTCAGCTATTTGTTTAGATCCACCTTCTGCACAGCTTCGAATATCATCCTTGAACGGCAGTCTGACTACATAACGACCACTTTCATCACGTCGTGTGGTGGCTACGAATAACTGTTCGCATTTTACCTCTTCTTCAGTCAACATCTTTTTGGCCACACAAGGTTCTCCTTCAAGCTCCCAGAATTTCTTCAACATGTCATCATTCTCCATACTTACATGCATGACTGTAGTGTTAGTAAATGAATCGGTCCCAGATAGGGAATCTGTTTCAACGACTCCAGACAGTATCCAGCCAAAAGTCGTTTCTTGTGCTAATACCCGGCTAAATGCACTGCGTTCAATACCTGCTCTAACTACTTGGCTGTATACTTCAGCACCTAGCAGAACGTCAATTTTATTTGGCTTATAATATTCCGGATCAGCAAGGTCTCCTATTGTTAACCCTAACAAATCTACAGGGCATGCTTCTACTGATGGAAGTAGAGATGATATTGAGTTTAAAACGTAAACGTTAATCTGCATGTTAAAAGTTGGATCAAACCTCGACTTTAAGTGTAAAGTCACGTACGATTTAGACAACAAAGTATTGTCTACCCCTACACCTGTTACAGTGTGTTTACTAAAGTTTTTCTTTAGTCCTAAGTACTGAACCATTGATTCAGTTATAAAAGAGCCTTGTGAACCTTGATCTAACAAGGCTCGCATATCACGGTAAGTGCCATCCCTCGACTTGGCTTTAACCAATGCTGTTGGTAACAGAACAGTTTCTTTACAATTTCCAGTCGATAAACATGACACAACTTTATCATCAAGATTTCCTACCTTTGTGCTTGAATTAGCCGTTCCTTCCGCCCGCATGGCAGAATTGACGCCCTTCGCCGAGTTATCCCCCATAGATTGCGATAAATCGCTGGGATGTAACAATGTATTATGACGTTTTTTGCAAATATGGCATCTGAAAGTAGTTTTGCAAGCCTTGGCAGGGTGATTATTGTATAAACAAATAAAACACAAACCTTTCTCCTGAGCAAAACACCGGCGAGTTTCGTTACTTTCCTGTGCAAACTTTTTACACTTTGTAATTTTATGGCTATCGTAACAATAACTGCAAGTTATTCTATAGGTATTATTTTGTGCATGATACGTATGAGAACTTTTACTTNTCGAAGCCAAAGAGGCTTGCTTGTGAGCGAGCCTCGAGCCTGAGGCGGAGCTGCGGACGAATGTCCAAGCAGGACAATAACTCGCGGCTCCGTTTCTTTGGGCTCTGGTGGAAACCGTCGGGTTTTAGTGGGTAGGCCCCGCCTTTAGTGGGTAGGCGGGGAGAGTCCCACATAACCCACTGGCCGTCCCCATAGACCAGTGGGTATGCGCAAAGCATTTCCCGACGAAAAAAAAAAAAGGCCTATACTCAGCAGTGGATGTCCTGATGATTGCTGTAATGTTATTCTCATTACCACTGAACTGACAGTGTGGTGGATGACATTACAGTAAGGCCCTTTTCACACGTCCCGGTTGCCGGCTAACCGGCGCCGGGTATCCGGTGGTGAAGTGTATGGGCATGGTACGTAGCTTTCACATGTTCCGGCGTAATTAATCCGGCATGCCCATACACTTCACCACCGGGTACCCGGCACCGGATAGCCGGCAACCGGGACGTGTGAAAAGGACCTTAGTCCTTTACGCGGTATAACCGGAAAACCGAAAAAGCGCCCCTTTCGGGGGCCCCCACCACTTAATCACAACTCCGTCGAAGTCGAAAACCTAGGGGAGTCTTCATGGACAACTAATGAAGCCAACTAATAAGCCGTGTGGTGACGGCAGAGTAGAATACATTTGTCACCAACCCCTACTCTTCCCGTGGGTGTCGTAAGAGGCGACTTAGGGACTACACATCAAACAGAGAATGGGCAGCAGCGCTCTCTGAAAAAAATCAATCTTTTAAACTGCGATCTCCAACCCGCCTGCCAAGCGTGGAGATTATGGCAAAACCCTCCACTATAGTGGAGGAGGCTCATAGTCCAGCAGTGCTATAGTTCCAAAATACTGGACTGTCCTGTCGATGACATTGACAGTGGGGCGCCACCGTCAATACCGGATCGCTGGTTCAGATTTTTGCCATGTTGGAAACCATATAGTTGAGCGATGGTAGCGCCCCCCTGTCATTGAGTTTGGTGGGACAGTTCAGCGTGGGTCAGCTATATAGGGCTGACTTCGGTATAGCCTGACCAGGAACATAAAAACCCTGGCATAGAGGCGCGTCAATTGCATTTGATAGTGCAACACTGAGTACAGTCGTACCTGTGTTAAATTAATAGGCTAACTTTATGTATCAGGATTCAGGATTACGGGCTAATTTGATATTTTCATAAATTAACGAAAAAATATGATTACCTATAGGTAAGCTGGTTTAAATAAATTAAATGAAACCATCAATCGAGCTAGTAGGATTTATTTTATTATTCATCAATAATCAAATTCAGAACTTGAATATTCAACTGCAATGTCTGCTCATGAACGCTTCAAACTCGGTACTTCTTTCCCAATTCCATAAAATTCAACACTTAGAAAGTGACAAAAAACTTTAAAATAGGTAGTTGAAACAAACCACAGCTAATTTTTCATAGCGGACTGTACTATACGATAAACATGTCAGTCAATTTGACAACCTTTGTCGGAAACATTATTCAATGAAAATATTGTCCGAACCCTTTTAATATTTCTCTTCGACAAATACTTTAACACATTGTGAACCACTTTTCTTTCACGACTCTATAAAGATTTTAGCAATTTAATTCACAAAATCAATTGCACACATTTAAAATAAAGTTTGTTTACACTTTGACAGCAATAGACTGACATGCAAGGTGACATGTCAATGAAGTTTTCAGTTACTGTTGCCATTAAAAGAAATTAGTACC